TAAGGCCACCAAGGATGACAACTACAGGGGATGACAGCGACTCACCGGACAATTCGGAAACAGAGAATCTTTGGTGCTATCCTTGACCTATAGACAAATGTTATGTATCTATAATAATGGTAAAACGCCATGGTTGGAATGCCTTTATGATCCATTTCTATCTGTCGGAATGGTTTGTGTCCATCCCCGCATTTTCTTTAATAAGAACATATGATTATAGAAAGGTGATCCATTAACAAAATGGAGAGACAAAAGGACAAGCTCAGAAGTGCCAAAGATGACTTAACCTTTACTTCTCTTCAGCATAAACTTCGCATGAATCAAGTGCAAGCTAACTATTGAAGACAATATTCAAATAAATAAATATTTAGTTTTCTCTCTAACAGCTTAAGTTTTAAAATGGGTAGTTAACATTAACAATGAATCTATCCTTGACCTAAGATGGAAAACACAGAAATCTGCAACGATGATCTTCCGAGAGAATGCATCCTTTGTTTCTGCGGGCTAATCTATCCATTCAAACCTTCAGTGTTGCAATCATTTGTTTCTGCGGGATAATCTATAATGCTAGTTTCGTGTCCTCCTAATGCGCAGTCAATTGAAGTTTTTGAAGAGGAGTTGTCTAAGTTTGTGCTTTTTGGAGTTCCATGTTGACACTTGGTTAGAACGAGAGATTTTCCCCTTTGGTCAAATCATATTTTTATGGATGATTTTCAGCTTCAGTTGCCATCGATTGTTTAGTTTTGATATCTGGTACATAAGAAAGATTGCATTCCTTAACATGAGTTCAGATATATGTTGGTGTCAAAAGTTCACCCGAGTTTTCTAAACCAGGGAGAAATGATGGAGATAAAGATAAAAATAAAGATAAACTTAGATTTTTGTTATGATTTTAATGTATAGTTTGATTTAAAGTGTATTTATTCAAATTATATTAGATTAATTATAAGATATCAATAAGATTCTAGTTTGTTAGAATTTCATTTGATTTTAGTTTCTTTTTAGTTTATTTGACCTATATATAGAGGGCTTAATCATCTTAATTCACTATTCTTGATTATATGATTTAATTGGTATCTTCTTAGCGCTAATTTCTTTTCTTATTGACCCCTTTCTTGTTTGTTAACAAATTATACGCTCATGCATCACCCTCTGAGACACCTTTTTCTCTTCTATAATCTAAGGGATTAGACACAGATGGAGGACAGTGAAGCTGTTAACCATCGAAATTATTATAATATAATACTAGTTGGAGGGAGTAATACAGATTAAATCACCACTTACAAAGACCTGTTCTGCAGGCACTCACATAGGAGAAGGATAAAGGTAAAATTAAATCCTTAAAATGAACCTCAGCGCTGTGGTCAATCATAAGAAATGAACTCAGAATAAAATCAAAAACGTCATACTATGTACACCTTTTCTTGATTTTCAAGAAGGTAAGCAAACACGCTCAGATTAGATTTGAAAAACAATAAAGTCCATATGGCTAGGAGATTTCATGCAAAAACATACTAACCTTTATCAGTTGAAACTTTGACGATCTCATGCCAGTAAACATCTACATCCACGATCAGAAACTCCTTTGGAAGTTTTGTTTGCATTGCCCTTATATAAACTATCTTGCAGCTGTGAGATCAACTGCGGCAATTTTAGCATGCCAATGTGTAGTTTTCCACGCACCACTTAAATGTACCCTGCTTGCTTGCAATTAGATAAGTTATGGTGCAAAAATAAACATTCTGCCCTGACCTTCTACAGAGATATCCCCTGAATTTCAAGACATTAGTACAATGATATCTATGCCATGAAGAACTTTTCATTTTAGAGAAACTGGCACTTGTTTCTCGGAAGTCCCAGAAATTCCACCATTTATTTCTATAGAACTCCAACCTAATGGTCTCTGCACATCACTCTTATTTATCAGTTCTCTAAAATTTATAGCATCATCCCATCTCCCTACTCCAGCATAAGTACTGGACGAAAGTACATAATTCCCACCATTACTTGGATCCAATTCGAGAAGCTTGTTGGAAGCAACTTCGGCTAAACCCAGATTACCATGAAATCTACAAGCACTAAGTACCATCCTCCATAAAGCAACATCTGGAACAACAGGCATGTGCTTTATGAACTCATATGCCTGAGATAGATTGCCAGAGCGAGTTAAAAGATCGACCACACACCCATAATGCTTCATTTCTGGTATCAACCCATAATCCTTTTGCATACTGTGGAAAAATTCCAATCCTTTATCCACCAAACCAGCATAAGCGCAAGCTAGTAATATGCCAACAAATGTTCCATGGGTTGGCCTTGCACCTTCTTTTAACATTTGAGAGAAAAGTTCAAGAGCATGATTAGAAATGCCATTTGCTGCTAGTCCAGAGATGATTGAAGTCCATGAGACAGAGTCCTTCTCTTCCAT